ATTTGAATAGAGACTTTAAAACAGTAAATAACAAGTAACACTAGTGACGAAGTCACTGTCATAAAGCATTCATCTAGATATATATTAATGTTTTTTTTGGATCTGCTGCATATTACACGGAATTTCCGAAATTATGTAAAGAACATAGTAAACATAATATTTTCAAACCACCGTTTTCAAAGATATGTATACCAAATTTCCATAAAAAGATAGTATATACATTATATTTTAGAGCTATAGAAAGATTTAATGGATGTAAAAATACCAGTGATGTGAAAAAACTCATTTGAAATACAGAAAATTTCTTTCTTTATCGTAATACTTCTATTTATTGCAACTTCCGAAAAAATTGTATGAAATAAAGATTCTTTCTTCATATCGCTGCTCCAGAAATGTCACCTAATTAAAAACCTCTAATAATTTTATAAATGTAACGATTTTCCAGAAGCCTTAGTGATTGAAAGTTCGTAAAACTAATAAAACGCCAATAAAACGTGTTGTTTTCAAACCACTACTACTCCTCCGTTTTCAAAGAAATAAACACCAAATTTCCATGAAAGATATTATATACATTATATTTTAGAGCCATGGAAAGCTTTAATGGATGTAAAAATATCAATTGCGTAAAAAAACTCATTCGAATTACTCAAATTATTTGATTTATTCAAATTATTATTTTATGATTCAAGATTATAATATCATTTTAGTATAAAGATTTAACCAATAACTTAATTACAATATAAAGGAGCTATTGGTTTGTTAAATTAAGCCAATATTTAACTAAAAAATGGGTCTGATTCATTTCGTCGAAAATTATTTCGTCACAAAAAAAAACTTCATTAAACAAATTTCTCCTCACACTTCCCACACACCCGCTTTCCTCACCTAATTTCTTAAGTAACTTCCCACACTCCTCACATCTAACTCGTTCGGTCTCTGGCTCGAGGATGAAATAATTTTCGACAAAACGAACTTTCGACGAAATGAACATTCGATGAAACAAACTTTCGACGAAATGGGTGTCGACAAATGATTGTCGACGAAATAATTTTCGACGACCGCAAATAATAATAATATTAGCCTATATTTTTTTTCTTCTGCAATTGTAACTGTTATGTAGTAATTATAAATATTACATTACACAATTAGAAGAAAAAAAAATATTAAATCACAAAGAGAATTTATTTTCATTATTTATACCATATATTTTTCTTAATATATACTAAAAATGTGTTCAACATACATTAATTCCTTATTTTTTTTTTCTAAGGCAGTGTTGTAATTATTGGAACAACATTTTGCGACCATTCTTATGATTTATTATTTAAAAACACATATATATATCTATTTTATAAACAAAAAGTTTATTAGTAAGAATATAATTACATTATTAAAAAATTATATAATAAACTACTTATTATATTTTATTTAAAAAAATATAACTTCCAACTGCTAATTATTTATTGTTTCTTTATGAAACTATAAAGTTCTTTCGATTTTAATAATTTTACATGTCACATCAATTGATTTTTCTATATGTGAAAATAAATTCGAAATTCGTATCTCATGAAGGTTTTTTTTAAAATATCTCGTTATTTTTATAATAAACTCGAACTTTGTTGTTAGAGTAAAATAAAAGTACTCCATTAAAGCTTTCTAATGAATACTTTTTCATATCAAAAAGTCTTCTCTACATGAATTCACGGCTATTCCAAAACGATATTACTTTTTCACTTCAAAGCTCGGATTATTTCTCAATATCGCTTTAAAAGACTTGATAGTAAATGAGAAGGTGTAGAATACTTTAAGCTTTCATACGGTCATTACTTTATGGGGGGTATTGGTTAATAAGTTTTAGAGAGGTTCGCGAAAAACTATTTTATAGAAATTTAGTAGTCATGAAGAATTTTTGTAGATGGGATTCAGCAAAAACTAAAAGGTATT